GTTGCTTTTTTCCATCTCTCTGAGTACACTTCAGGGAATCCTGAAAATTTTCGTTAAGTTACTAAAAGCAATTCAACTTTGATTATAAAGGAAGATAGAATGTGATAAAGTGATATGTGTGATAAAGCGTATCTTTGTTTTGACACAGTTGTAACAGGCAGGTAGGTTTTTCTTTTTGCATTATTTTAGTTGAGGTAAAATTGAGATAACATAAAATTAACCATTTTAAAGCCAACAATTTAGTACATTTATAATCTGTGTCTAGTTTCAAAGCATTTTCTTCACCCCAAAATGAAACCCTATACCCATTAAGCAATTACTCACCATTCCCCGCAAACCGAAACCAAACCCGTTGCAGTGGAGTCGATTTTGACTTATAGTGACCCTATAGGACCGAATAGAACTGCCCCATAGGGTTCCCAAGGTTGAAATCTTTACGAAAGCAGACTGCCATAGCTTTCTTCCTCGGAGCGATTGGTGGATTCAAACTACACCTTAACCGCTGAGCCACTAGGACTCCTTCCATTACCCCATCCCCTGGCAAACACCAGCCTGCTTTTTGTCTCTATGAATTTACCTGTTCTGGATATTTTATATAAATGGAATCATATAGTGTCTGGCATCTTTCACTTACCATTATGTTTTTTGAGACTCATTGAGATTGTAGCATGTGTCAACACTTCATTCTGTTTTAGAGTTGAGTAAAGCACAGTTTGTCCATCCATTGATGGACATTTGGACTGTCTCCACCTTTTGGCTGTTGTGAATGCTGCTGTCATAAATGTGATTGTACATGTATGAGTAGAAGAAGCGTTGGTGGCGAGGTGGTTAAGCGCTATGGCCGCTAACCAGAAGGTTAGCAGTTCAAATCCACCAGCTGCTCCTTGGAAACCCTATGGTTTTTTTTTTTTTTTCCCCCTAATGATAATTCTATGTTTATCTTTTTGAGGAATTGCCAAATTGTTTACCACTACGGTTGAACCATTTTACCTTCTCACCAAAATGTACGAGGGCTCCGGTTTCTCTGCTTGTTGGCCAGCGTTTTTTTTTTCCTTCGGTTAATTATAGCCATACTAGAGGCGTGACTGGCACCTCGTTGTGGCTTTGGTTTGTGTTTCCCTAATGACAAATAGTGTTGAGCATCTGTTCATGTACTTGTTGGCCATTTGTATATCTTCTTTGGAGAAATGTCTGTTCATTCTTTGGCCCATTTTTTAATTGAGTTGTTTATCTTTTTGTTGAGTTGTAGGAGTTCTTACATACTCTGGATACTAGGCCCTTATCAGATACAATTTGTAAATATTTTCTCCCATGCTGTAGGTTATATTTTTACTTTCTTGATAATGTCCTTAGTTGCACAAAAATTTTTAATTTTTATGAAGACCACTTTATCTGTTGTTTTTCTTTGGGTGTCATATCTAAGAAACCTGCTTTTTACTCATTACAGTGTGTTTAAGAATGATTTTGTGGCTATGTAGCATTTCATCATGTCAATATACTGTAATTTATGTAACTGTAATTTATGTAAACAGCCTTTTATACTTGAGTATTTTATTGTCCAGGCTTACAATATTACAACTGAAGGATTGTCTCAATCACAGGATGAATTCCTAGAAATGGAGTAACTAGCCCAATTAATATTTATTTTTAAGGTTTTTTCATCAATATTGCTAAATTGCTCTGTAATCACATACTTCATGCAGCTTGGTCCTATCTAGTATTTTAGTTTTATTTTCTTGATTACCAGTGAATTCATTGGGTGAAAATTACAGTTTATATTTTTTGCCTTTGTGGGAGGGATGATTAGTATAAGAAAAGTATTTTTTGCTTCTTTGTAATGGCAAATAAACTTTAATACAAGTCATTTGTTCATTATCTTTGAATTTACGGTGACTTTTTTTGTGAAGTTTTAGAAATTGATCCAAAAAGAAAAAGAACTTTTTTTAACCATTTATTTCTTATTTGCATTGTGATAAAATATATGTAACAAAACACTTAGCGTTTTAACCGTTTTTCGGTGCACAATTCAGTGGCGTTAATTACTTTCCCCATGCGGTGCAGCCGGCAGCACTATGTGTTTTCAGATGCTTTTCATCCCACTAAGCAGAAACTCGGTCTTCCTTCGTAGCGCGGCGTTTCCCTCCCCCAGGACCCTGGTAACACTAGTAAATTACTGTCTGTGCGTTTACCTGTTCTAAGGATTCCATGTAAGTTGGGTCATAGCACCGTTTGTCCTTTTGTGTCTGACTCTTTTAATGCATTTAACTCGAGTCCAATGCTTTTTCTTGACATAATTCTTTTTTACAATTAAATTGCAGCACAAGATACCACTTCAGTGAACAGTACAAGCTGTAAGAAGAAGCTAGATGAAGATTGTGAGGGCCTTTTTGTACCTGCAAAAGTCCTGAAAGAAGGAAGTGTTCTAGATGTTTTGAAAAACCCTGGTAAGATACCAGCTGCCCTTGGTATAGTCAGAAGTTTTAATTACAGACTCAGGATCTCATTTTAATGTCTTTTGTACTTTTTAAAAATTGTGATTAATTTGGTGCAGGAGGTTGACTGTTGAATAGAGATGTAGTCAGATGTAAGTCCTTTGGGAGAAATATATTGGAAACCCTACTTACTACTTTGAAATTCAAAGACTGTGGAGTCTCCGGAGTAAAAGATAGGAGAAGATGAACTACTTGTTAAAGTATAGCAAGATAGAGACAGGCCAGTAGGGAATAAAAGTAAATAAACCTGATGATACCTGGACTTGTGTTTATCTGATGATTTCCTCAAAGCATTAAACTACCTTGTTCTTCTGAGATGATTCTGCAGTTGTGGTGTCTTGTAACAAGGCCAAGCAGAAAGTGTTTGCTGCATTGTAACATTTGATACATAGGGAACAGTACTTCTTTGACGTGAAACAAAATTTAAAAGCTAGTAGGTAATATTTTGAAGGGAGTGAATTAGAGTCCTCAAAAAGGAATGGTTTTGATTTGAAATCAAACAGGATGTTCAAAATTTTAATTGTGATGTGTACTCTTAAGAATGTAAAACTGTTTATTAGATAATCTATAGTTCAGAAAGAATTTAGGTTTAACCAGGCAGGTTTGTTTAATTATATAGTTTTATTTAATATAAATAAGACTGGCTTCATCAACAAGATTTAAGAAGGGTTAGGTTTTTTTTTTTTTGGTCCAGCTCTCTCATTTCACAGGTGTGCTTGCAACCTATAGGAATCCAGTGATTTATGCAGTTATGGCAGAAGTCCAGAATGCCTGTACTAGAATTGACTAAGGATTAGGTTAACTGTTAGCTGCATATAGCTGGTCTTATATCTCTAGGGTGACATTTTGCATTTATAATGCCATCTTCTTCCCCTATCCCCCAAGAAGAAAAAACTGGGGGGAAGATTCATATATTCATTTGCAGGAAATCCAAAAAAGTAGAAGGAAAAGAAATCTAACACTTTGAGATGGTTACTGTTAAAATTTTGCAAACTTTAGTGACTCAAATTAATCATCAACAAAGTAGTACATTGGTGACCACTGGGGGTAACTGAAGTATGTGGGGTTGTTTTGTCTTCATACTAGAATAATTCTAGGCTGGGTCATTTCTTCCCGCCACTAGAAGACCTCTAACAACCCTCTAGATATTCTTCCTCTTCCCTTCTAATTTCCTTTGGTGCTGAGGGCTGGAGAAACAGACCACTGAGTTTGTTGGTGTGTGTAAGATACACGTTAATTGTTACATGAAGTTGTCCCTGTGATAACGTGCAGCTTGAGTCGATTCCATGACAGCACCTTTGGTTAGCACAAGCCCTGTTGGTTCTGTTTGTTTCCCTATTTCCTGGTTCCGTGTGAATACCTTAATTGTCTAAATACACCCTCAGTGGATAGTTTAAAAAGTGTACTTAAAATGTGAGGTATTCTAAATAATATTGGAGAGAAATGTGGGATAGTTTTGTTTGAATTGGTGTTTGGTAACTGTGTAGGTGTGTGTTTGATAGCATGAGTTCATGTTGCATGAGGGTAGACAGTAATTTAATCAGTTTTTATATTTCTAGTCCTTAACCAGAAGATTGGGTGCACCTTTGTTGAAATTTGTGATCATATTTGTCATTGCACCATTACCATTTCAAAGGTCATTGGAGTAGGATATAATTAAACATAATCCCTACTCTCCTGTTAGATGTTTGGAGGGACATCTGTCAGATAACTATGCCTGCGCAGCTCAGATGGTTTCACTGCAGGTGGCGGATTCCACAGCAGTGGATTTGACTGGACAGAATTCAAAGATTATAGATACTGCAGTCATTTGGCGTAGGCAAGGGGAAACCCGAGAGGGGGGACAGGTGAGGGAGGAAGGCTGTGAGCGCGCTGCGGCTCGGCGTCGGAGGAAGGCTGCGAGCGGCGTCGGAGGAAGGCTGCGAGCGCACTGCGGCTCGGCGTCGGAGGAAGGCAAAGCTTAGTGAGACAGAGATGACGTAGTGTGTATCAGTGAGTTTGTAACAAATAAAAATATCAAACCTACCTATCGGTTGGATTATAGTAAATAGAAATTTCTAGAGGGATAAGATGATACACTATAAACAATGTTTGTTGTAGAATTTTAACTAGATCAAAGTGTCACTTAGCAATTATGTAATTAATGAATATGATTGCTTAGATGAAAAACAACTCTTAAATATTTCATTTTGGATTGTAGTAGCCAACGCTGCCATAACGTAAGTGTTTTCTCCCAGTAATAATACTTCAGTCAATATGTTGTTAGAAAGCTTCCTTAACTTTTTTTTTGTTGTTTTGCATTCTCTTTTCCCGATTGTAGGTTTCCTATCACCGAAGGTAGATTCTCTTGCTGCTCAGCCTACCACGACAAGCCCTGCAGTTTATACAAGACCAGCAATAAGTAGCTTTTCTTCTAGTGGAGTTGGGCTTGGGGAAGGTCTAAAAGCTGGATCATCATGGCGGTGTGACACGTGTCTTGTCCAGAACAGAGTTACAGACAATGAGTGCATAGCCTGTCAAGCCACAAAATCGCCACCAAGAGATTCTGCTAAACAGATGGGCGTGGGGACAGCAAGTCAGAGTGGCAAGCCAGCTCCTCCTGCAGCAGGGACAGGCTTTGGAGACAAATTTAAACCGGCAGCCGGAGCTTGGGATTGTGATACCTGTTTAGTGCAGAATAAGCCGGAAGCAGTGAAGTGTATAGCTTGTGAAACACCAAAACCTGGAACTGGCGTTAAGCGGGCCCTTACGTTGCCAGCGGCTTCAGAAAGTGCCGTGACTGTAACCGCTTCATCTTCCAGCTGCACCGTGACCACTGGTACCTTAGGGTTCGGAGATAAATTCAGAAGACCTCTGGGATCCTGGGACTGTCCAGTGTGCTGTGTTTCTGATAATGCGGGCGACGATAAATGTGTGTCCTGTATGTCTGAGAAACCAGGTACGTGTATGGTTATTGGAATAATTTTGCTCATTACTTTAGTAGAACATTTTAATTCTCTTAAAGCAGATGAGAAAAATCCCAATACTTTAAATGTTTCAGGATGAGCATTTCCTCATACCTCTTAGTTTTTCTAAACAGCGTGAGGTGTAGATGACTTGCTTGGGGCAGGAGCTTCATGTTCTCTTAGCCTCGGTTGTATGTCAGCCAGTACAGTATATGCTCTGCTCTCTCCTTTGTATTCAGTTTTGTCAGAAAGTTCTTGTTGTTTTTTCAAAGCTGACTAGTATAGATGCTGAAAGATCTTAGAATTGGGCAGTCTTTCTCAAACCTTTATACAGAATAAAATATGACCCTGTCTCTCTTTTTCTCTAAGTAGAAGTGAGAATGGCTAGAGTTCATTTGCAGGGAGGGTTTTTGCGAAGGTGCAGACAGTAGTGTTTATGAAAAGGCTGGCTGAGTTTTCATGGTGATACCTGGACCTGATGTGTATGTACGCTGTCTGCCAGAGTTATTGCAGTGATAGAGGTTACTGAAGAGTTAATGAAAACATTCTAACTTTGCCAGAAAAATGGAGTTAGGTTTGAACTTTGCCTGTTTCTCCCTTCAAAGCTGGAAAAGTTACTGACGATTCACACTACCCAGAAGTGGCTCTTTGCTGTTTTTGTAATGCTGTTATATAATAGTCTGGGTATATGGTAGCAGGGATACTAAATAAAGCATATGAAATATAGTATCCTGGGAGTTATACTTCTGTTTTTATTGCATTTTTTTTGGATGCATAGTTTTGTGTCTGCCGTATAAACCTCTAGTTATTAGCCTGGACCCCTGACCCGAACAGCAGAGCCATTTTCTAATTCCTACCGGACATTGCTACATGAACAAAATTTTAGAATCTGCATTCTGGGATATCTTCCTCTTCCCATCTGGCATCCCTCCTCGTCCCCTGAAAAAAGAAAGGTCTTGATGCACGTAGTTAAACCAGAATGAATTCTGGGTTGGTGGGAGAGTAGAACTTGGAGTCCAAATAACCACGATGAAAGAAAGTTATACTTTATGACAGAAAGTTGGTATGTGTAATAGGAAACTTGGACTTTGTTCTGTAAATGAGAATCATTTGAAGCAGTAGAGGATGTGCTCATGTTTGTATTTTTGATAAATCGCTCTGGTGGCGGTTTGGAGGGTGACTTTGAGGGGAACGAAATTGGGAGACCTGTACTGATGAAATCAGTGAAGGATGGGGAGCTGTACAGTTATGTACAGTTGGACACATGTTGAGTTCAGGCTGCTGGAGTTGATCAGGTAGACGTGAGGTCTTTGGATATACTGTTGGGGCCCTGTGGGCTGGACATACAGGTTTGGGGCTCATCGGTCCGTAATTTGATATTTGACGTCATGGGAGTAGAGGTGATGTGAGGTGAGTGAATAGAGAAGGCGGCCCTAAAACTGGAGGCTGGTGTCTTAAAGAGGTGACAGGAATACAAGTTGGGAATGGCTAATCCTGTAAAGCGGTACCAGCGAGGAAAGACAAAATCCACGTGGCACTGGCTGCCCAGAGGAGGCTGGATTGCAAGGGAAGGAGACCAGACGTCTCAGTAAAAAGGCCAGAAATGAGGAGGACTTGAAGTAGCATAGAAGTGGAAGGGTCAGAAAAAGAGAATGAAATGGGTTTGAGAAATGCATAAGGGAGGGGGAGCCAGCTAGCGACAGGGCGGACAGTGGGACCACTGTCCACCTATGAGACTGCGGGAGTGAAGCTTCGAAGGGAAGTGTGGGTTGCAGATACAGATCAGGAAACTGTTTTGTTGGTGTTTAAAACCGTGAAAGTAGATGAGAGTTTGTGAAAGAGAAGTGTGCCAAAGCTGGGACTCGGGGAAGAGGGGGTGGGGGTTTTATTGGTAAGGTGGAAACGAGTGTACCCATAAAACAGAAGGATCCCAGATAACTGTGGGAGAAGTGACAAAAGTTGTAGAAAATTTACAAGAGTCGGGGTACCGGCATGACCAGCTCCCCCGTCAATAGCGTCTTTCTTGGTACATCTCTGCTCTGTGGAGCCTGCCCAACGCCAGCTCCCCTCCCCCCGGTAGGCTGCTTCTGCTTCAAGATTTAAATAATCACCTCTGCATCATATTTCACCTTGGGGCTGGTCGTACTGTGCATCTACAGGTTTCCTTTTCCTCTTTTAGACCGAGTACCTTCAGAAGCTAGGCAATATTTTAGTACTTAATAAATGTCTGTTAAATGGCTAGCATATAACAGAAGCGCTGTGAACATATAGGTGTCGAGTGGAATTGAAAGTGGATGTTAGCACACTTCTATGGAAAAATTATCGCAAAGGCAGAGACCTCTGCTTTGAAATCTTGACGTGAATACAGTCTCTGGCTACGTATTTTGTGATAGGATATTGCCTGCAGTTTACATCTTACGTCTTGAGGTGCTGTGCTATTTGAAGACGTTTCACAAAGGTTCTTGAGGACAGTTTAGTCTTCCACTTTCAATTCTTGAGCATTTTTTTCCTTTTTTTCCAAAATTTGTTTTGTTGTTGAGAGTATGCACTGCAAAACATACACCAGTTCAACAGTTTCTACATGTACAATTCAGTGACACTGATTACATTCTTGGAGCTGTGTCACCATTCTCACCCTCCTTTTCTGAGTTGTTCCTCCCCCATTAACATAAACTTCTTCTCCTAAGGATCCTGGCTAATCTTTCAAGTTGCTGTTGTCAGTTCGATCCCATATAGATAGTTCTTAAAAGAGGATAATGCTCAAGGCAGACCTTTTTTACTAGTTAAGCTGAATCATTGTTTGGTTTTAAAATGACTTTAGGGGATATTTTTGGCTGAAAGTTTAAAGATTATCTCAGGACAGTAGTTTCAGGGGTTTATCCAGCCTCTATGGCTCCAGAAAATCTAGAGTCCGTGAGAAGTTGAAATTCTGTTCTGATCAGGATTCCTCTAGGGAATCTTTGATCAAAATGTTCAGTAACCGTAGCCAGGCACCATCCAGTTCTTTTAGTCTGATGGCAAGGGAGGCATTCCATATCCTCCTCCTGTCCCTGACTCTCCTTCTTCCTCTGTTGCTGCAGGTCAATAGAGAACAATTGTTGTGCCTTGGATGGCTGTTTGCAAGCTTTTAAGACCCCAGGCACTATGCATCAAACTAGGAGATAACAACCAAAGCACTTAACTCCTTTCTAGGTCAATTAACTGGGATGTTCATGAAACCGTGACCCTAAACCTCCAAACAAAGGAACCAATTCCCATGCGGTGTTTGGTTGTACATAACCAGCCTCAGCAGCTACTCTTTTTTGTTATTGTTGTAAATATAGCACACAACTTTTGCCAATTCAGCTTTTTATAGGTGTACAAACTACTGGCAGCAATTACAATAATTGGCTGTGCAACCCTACCCTTAATGCAGTTGTTCCATTGCCATTAGTCCCGCCACCCCCCCGTTTCTCCCCTCTCTCCCACCTCTGGTAACCGCTAGTAAACTTTGGTCTCTATACATTTGCTTTTCTTATTATTTTAGTAAGTGAGGTCATACAATGTTTGTCCTTTTGTGATTGGCTTATTTCACTCAGCATAATGTCTTCAAGCTCCATCCATACTGTAGCATGTGTTAAGGCTTCATTTCTCCAACTGGCTGAGTAGTATTCCATTGTATGTATACCACATTTTGTTTATCCATTTATCTGTTGATGGACATTTAAATTGTTTCTACCTTTTGGCTATTTTGAATAATAGTGCTTCAGTGAACATTGGTGTACAAGTCTCTGTTTGATTCTCTGCTCTTAAGTCTTTTGGGTATATACCTAGTGGAATTGCTGGGTCATATGGTAGTTCTTTTTTTTTTTTTCTTCCAAAATATTTTATTGTGCTTTAGATGAAGGTTTACAGAGCAAATTAGTTCTCAGTAAACAATACACATATTGTTTTATGACATTGGTTGCCAACCCTATGACATGTCAACACTCTCCCCCTCTTGACCTTGGGTTCCCCCTTACCAGCTTTCCTGTCCCCCTCTTGCCTTCTCGTCCTTGCCCCTGGGCTGGTGTGACCATTTAAGTCTTGTTTTGTTTTATGGGCCTGTCTAATCTTTGGCTGAAGGGCGAATCTCAGGAGTAACTTCATTACTGAGCTAAAACGGTGTCCAGGAGCCATACTCTTGGAGTTTCTCCAGCCTTTGTCAGACCAGTAAGTCTGGTCTTTTTGTGTGAGTTAGAATTCTGTTCTGTATTTATCTCCAGCTCTGTCCGAGACCCTGTATTGTGATCCCTGACAGAGCAGTTGGTGGTGGTAGCTGGGCACCATCTAGTTGTGCTGGACTCAGTCTGGTGGAGGCTGTAGTACTTGTGGTCCATTAGTCCTTTGGGCTTATCTTTCCCTTGTGTCTTTGGTTTTCTTCATTTTCCCTTGCTGCAAATGGAGTGGGACCAGTGGGGTATCTTAGATGGCTGCTCACAGCTTTTAAGACCCCCAGATACTACTCGCCAAAGTAGGAGGTAGAACATTTTCTTTAATAAACTGTGTTATGCCAGTTGAGCTAGATGTCCCCAAGACCATAGTCCCCCACCCTCAGCCCAGTAATTCAGCCCCTCAGGGAATTTGGATGTGTCTATGGAGCTTCCATGACCTTTCCTTTTACAAGTTGTGCTGGCTTCCCCAGTGTTGTGTCTTGTCTTACCCCTCACCAAAGTTACCACTTATCTATTGTCTATTTAGTG